TGTGGGAGAACAGGCAGCACAGGGGAGTAATAAGGGGATGCAACAGAGCTGGACAGAAAGCCACAGGAGGCAGTAAATAAAATGCAGAGAGAAGGCAGATATGACAGGAAAAAATAACAGGCCGAGGAAGAAGTACAGATAAGCACTGTTAAAATAAAGACAGTGGACGTTATAGTGAGGGCTGTGGCAGTGACTGTTACAAGCAGACAGGCGCATCTTCTGCCTGCCGGGGGAACATCAGCTCTCAGGGAACCAGCAACCAGGGACAACAGGTGCTTTCAACACAAAGCAGTGAAGTCAGCTCACATCTAAAGCAAACTCACACCACGCAATTCACATAATCACAATATTAATTTTGGATCTGAGACTTTCAGTCCTTAGGATTTACACCTGGGACCTCCCTGTTTTTTTTTTTTTTCTCTAAATGATTCTGTTTCTTTTGGTACCAACTAGGAGCTGCGGACCGGGTTGGGAAACACTGCTGTACAGTAATTGTCGATGGGACACTGAAACGTGAGGCAGTTTGCCTCATTTTGTCCTCTGCAGTGACACCGAATAGTAAGCCCATGTAATACATTTTTCCTGGAATTTGCCTGCAGTTTGTCAGTGCATTGTAGAATCAAGACACATTGCATTTAATATGTATATGGCCTGGAATTAGGGCAGTGTGGAGTCTCAGGGAGTTGCATTGTTACATTAAACTCAAATCCAACCACTGCTCTGTGGGTGTGTGGATGATGTCCAAATGTCACAAAGGTTTTTTTATGCTAAATAATTTTATCTGAATGTTACATCCTATAATTACAAGAAATCTGCCCATCATTTGCCTTATGACAGCAAATGCCAAATACAAACAGCTTTTTGTGCATTCACACATCCATCCATTTATCTATTTAGGGTCACGTTTTTAACACGACACTAAAAGCAGACACTGATCGGATAACTGCAAAGTCGGCCAAATCCTGAATTAAAAAATCCACAGCAGAAATACCCTTACAGAACACTCACATACGTGCCAATAAAATCTGCAGCTTGGAAAAGACTTCTGGTCCGTTTCCAATCACGGCACGAGCTTCATTAAAACACCAATCTTGTCTTGCTGGCGTTGGCAAAAGCAGACAGAGAATTCATCACCATTTCAATTCTATAGCACATGTGTGTGTGTGATTGTGTGGGTTAGGTTTATATTACATTATGGGGACCAAATGTTTATTTGACATTGTGGGGACCATTTTTCTGGTCCCACAATGATCTGTGAATGCAATCAGAAATGTATTTGGTTCGGTTACTTATGGTTAAGGTTAGGGCTGGGTAGGGGTTAAGGTCGTCATATTGGGATTAGAGTTTCCCCAAAGAAATGAATGGAGAGTCCCCACAAAGATATAATTACAAATGTGTGTGTGCGTGTGTCTGTGTGTGTGCCAATGGCCGATGTAGGGGGTATGTGGGGGACTGCAAACCCTAACCCAAACCCTAACCCTAACCCAAACCCAAACCCTAACCCTAACCCTAACCCTAACCCTAACTCTAACTCCAAACCCAAACCCAAACCCTAACCCTAACTCTAACTCCAAACCCTAACCCCCCCTTAGCCCGGCCGACAAAATTTGGTAAAAGCGACAAGGGACCTCATAGTCCAGGGCTGATATTTAACCGCAGTGTGTGTGTGTGTGTGGTTTAGGTATGCATTTCGTCCCCACAATGTGAGAAAACCGGTTATTTTGATGTTGTTTGAACCACTTTTTCAGTCCCCACAAGGGGAAATTCAATTTTATAAAAAAATTGTGACTGCAATCAAAAAACTTAAAATACCAAAAGGTAGGATTAGAGTTGTTATTGCTGAGATTAGGGTTTCACCCATAGAAATGAATAGATGGTCTCCACAAAGACATGAATACAGGTCTGTGTGTGTGGTGTGTGTGTGTATGTGAGAGAGAGAGAGAGAGAGAGAGAAAGAGAGAGAGAGAGAGAGTGAGGGACAGAGTCTATATATGTAAAGTAAACATGCTAAACTCTAAAGTGTCATTCTTAGGATCATTGCATGTGTATGTGACTCAGTGTGTGCGGTCGGCTGTGTGATTCAACAGGAGTAGGTGTCGCCTGTCGGCTGTGTCGGCCGTGTGTGCGTGGTCGGCTGTGTGATTCAACAGGAGTGGGTGTCGCCTGTCGGCTGTGTCGGCCGTGTGTGCGTGGTCGGCTGTGTGACTCAGTAGGAGTAGCTGTCGCCTGTCGGCTGTGTCGGCCGTGTGTGCCTGGTCGGCTGTGTGACTCAGTAGGAGTAGCTGTCGCCTGTCCAGCTCCAGCTCGCAGCTTGTCCCCCAGGGGGCGTGGCTCTCAGGGGGCTGTACCAGGTCACTGTATGACACGTGCAGCTTGAGCACATAGTGCCTGCGGTCCCGGCCAGTGTCATCAGGCGAGTAACTGACATAGGAATGACCTTTCCTCTGCATGCACAGACATGCACACACGCATGCACATACACCCGCGCATGCCGGATGGAGGGAGGGGGAAGTGGGAGGGGGTGATGGTGAAAAAGAGGGTACAGAGGGACAGATAAATAGGTGTAGAAGATGGAAAAGCCAAAAGAAGAAAAGTGATATGATTAGGGTGGATGTTTGGGGGTAACCAGGAGAAGAAAGAACAGCAAGATTAGGACAGAAACGTCAGAAAAAAGCAACAGAAAAATGTTTCCTTTTCTCTGTTGTCTATATGTGATTGTAGTACATGAACAGGCTTAAAGGTAGATGCTCATATAGGCTTATAGATTCAGAGACGCACGGGATTCACAGTCTGGTCACATGGTTGTGACAAGGCAGCTCTTGCATGCTTGGGGCAGACCAGCCTCTGGCATGGCGGAGAAAAGGATGAGGTACTCACAGTTAGGAGCGGGGTGACTGAGGCGAGGGTGGGCTGTGGCAAGGCTGGGGATGGTGGGGCAGGGGGGCAGGGCTTCCATGGGACGTCTGATAGGGGGACGGCTTGGGTCTTTGGACTGGGGGACACATACGTCATAAGAGTATAAGGGCCGGTGAGAACTGAGGGCTCACAGAGACACACATGAGAGCGGGCAGGTTGGGATGAAGCGCAGACACATGGATGAACATAAATTGTGTTTTTTTTGGCAAGAATACGAAATGAAACATCGTTAAATCTCCAAAAAGGAAAGAAAGAGTCATACATGCTTAAAGGAGGAGCTTTCAGTAGGATCAACAGGCATGTCCCTAAAGTGAGTTGCAGGGATGTGTAAATGTATGTGGCGTGATGTGTAAGGCTGCGCCTCCCTCACCTCCGCATCACTGTTCTCCTCCCACCCTTTGCATCTCCTCCTGTCCTTCTTTCTCTTCCCATCCTCTGTCCTCTTCTTGTCCTTCTCGGGCAGGATGTCGTCCAGCCAGGCCAGGTCGTGCTGGGAGAACACCAAGTCCAGCATCTTCCGCACCAACATCAGCCCCAGAATCTGAGGAGATGAGAACATTAAACAGCATCTCTCACACTCACATGAAGCATCCCGATATTAATATTCATAAATATTAATAACCTCTCCTCAGTTCTGATTCACACCACAGAGCACTGAGCTAAGGGTAAACTATGGAGATGATGAACTATCCATTCCACCTGGTGTTGTTCACACACGAATGGCCAATCAGTAGGATTAAATAACTGGCATCCCATCCAGGGTGTACCCCAGTTGTGCCCTGTGTACCCTGCTCTCGACTCCAGTCCCCCCGTGAGCCTGCCAAGGAAAACTGGTCGAAAGATGAATAGTATTAATCCAAGGAAACTGATGGAAACCCACATACAAAAGCCAGACACCCCAAATATGAACCCAGAACAAAAACAGAATGGATATTGCAAAAGCAAAAGCAATGTTCATTAAGGCCAATAGCAGAGCCCTGAATCATAGCTGACAGAAAGTCAGGTGGGCAAGTCCCATAACAAAATACTTGGCAACAAAATCACACTACAGACTAAACTAAAAATTTTTGTAATAAATTTTTAAATGACCCATGGTATTACTAAGACCAAATGGACAAGGAGAAAGAAAAATCTATTTGCCTCTCAACAGAACATTTCCTCCAACTGATCTAACTGCGCACACACATGCATGTCAGATGCAATCGTATTATCGCGCTGTATCGCTCGCTGTGAATGCTGAATGGGTGGGGCTGAGAGACATCTGGGTGGGGGCAGGACCACCCAGGCTGCCACGGTGGATTAAACCATCACACCAATCAGCTTTACTTCAGAGCTACTTAGTATTTGTTGAGTAAAGGATCTCCAACGATTGCGAAATGAGAACGATTAATTCACACGCTGGAGGATTTGCCTACTGCAACGAACCCATACCATGACAGGGAAGACAATGGCTGCTACGGTCGACTTGAGGATCCAAAGCACAGCCAGACAGGTGATTTGGACCAGGGTGAAGAGGTGCACCTTCCTCAGGGGAACGTGGCGCAGATATATGAAGTCGGGCTGGTGCTTTGCAGGCATCAGGTACAGTTTGATTCTGTCCCAAAACTTTTGGGGAGAAAAGTGAGCCGGAGCCTTTTTTTAAGTCAAGGCATCTTTAATTATACAGCACATTTAAAAGAGAAGTGTCTGCCAAAGTGCTGCGCAATAAAATCAATAAAATCAACAATTTTAACAAAGGTGTTTGCGACGAGTAGCCAGAACGCTGATGCCAAACGTGCTCAGTTTAAACTAAACACAGTCACATGCGTGCACAAGAACGGACAGACAGACCTGAACACCGCTGAGAGAGGCCACTCCCATGTAGAGGAAGACCCCATAGAGCACAGGCATGGGGATGAACTATCAAGATACCACAGAATGAATCTTATTCAGCAATGATAAGAGTGTAAATATGCCGTGCAAGAATAACACTGAGTCATGCAGAATTCTGAGTAAATGGTAATTTTGAATAAAGTGCTATTGTATCATAATACAGTTCCAAAGCAAATATCAAGAATCACAGAATATACACTGGATGTGATGCTGTTCCATCACACAGCACATCCTCAAGTGCTACTCAGAACTGAGACACACCTAAACTTTTGACTGTGTGCCAGAGTAGCCGTAGGAGTCATGGTGCTTTAGTAATCATGACAATCATTATTATTGTCCTAGGTTACTATTTGTTGCTGCCTCACCTGCAGTATAGGTGCAAGGAAGATGGAGACCCCCGTCAGGACAAACACCAAAATCCCTGTCAGTCTCTGTTCCCTGGATGCCAGAAAAGACACCCAGGGGAGTCAAAATTTCACATTTGCAGTGACACCAAAAGAGCCCATCTCAACGTAGGTTCCAAACCCCCCCAACCCTCTCACTGACTGCCTATTCCCTCTGCTCCCTCAACCTCCTCCCCAACCCCCCCATGCCCTGTACCCCATCACCTCCTCACCACCCCCTATGCCCTGTACCCCATCACCTCCTCACCACC